GGGTCAGCGCATCAATGATTGCCAATTCGGTTTCGTTTTGATCAATGCTTTTACTCTCATTAACAATACAAATACAAGCCCACACAAAGGATACAACTACAATTGCCAGCGCAATCCAGAAATAATGCCAGCCCATAATATCTCTAACACAATCATAAATGCTATCATGCTATAGGTGAGGGCATACGACCTGGTAGATGTAGTCTGGTCTCAGGCTTCGCAGGGTCGAGCTGCGACTTCGATGTTTCGGCAGTCAGGATCAGGTACAGCGTGTCAGCATCTCGGACAGAGCAGGGATGCAGATCCTCTGTTCCAGGTCTGGAAGCTCCTGCGTCTCGGGCAGAGCTTCAGCAGGTCATCTTGACGGAGTCGTCAAGCGACGTCATCTGTCTGTAGTCTTCTCCTTTTATACTTTAAGTCATTTCTAATCTAATACATCCATATGCTCTATCTAAGTTAACTCCTCAACACTCGCATTACCTTACTTCAAACTCTTAATCTTATGTCACAGCAGTCATGTGTCACGGCACACGGTCGGGGGGGGGAATTCCCCACATGTCACAGCAAACTCTTATCTGTCTTAACACTCAGCATCCAGGCTGTCAGCTTCCAAGCTGTCAGCTATCAAGTCTCACTTAATTTCACTCTAGTTTTACTTTGCTTAATTCTGCTTTTTGTGGGTCACAAAATCCTATGTTTTACATGTTCACTACAAGGCCTTGGGGGGTGCTCAGGCCAGGGGGCTCTGCCCCCGTGTAGGGACTAAGCCGTTTGCGGGTTAATGGAGTAACAAACCAATGAGGAAGCCACCTGTTTCTGGCCTGCTTGCTGTGTCACCATGTGACTCGTGCTATGTTAGGAACCACCTCGCCATGCCTGGCTCTTGTACTCCTCACCTCCAGGACCAGAAACCATACAACCCCGATTCTGTACAAGTCCCCTGGTTGTAGGTACTTTGTGATAGTGACAGAAAAAGGACCAAGACAGCATTTGTGTGAAATGTTCAGAATAGGCAAATTTATAGGGCCAGAGTTAATGGTCACCTAAGACTGGGGGAAGGAGCACTAGGGGAAATAGGAAGTTACTGCTGACGTG